AATTTGAAAAACTAAGGCGTTACTCTATAGTGCAAATAAACAAATTGTTTTCAACTCCGCTTATCTTTATAAAAATGTTCTTTTGTTGCAAATTGAAATTATTTTTTACTGATTTTGCATTTATCTGAAAGTAAACAAAATCATCCTCTACTACTAGTAATCATCCACGCTACAAGTAACTTTGAAAACCATAGAATTTTTGTACTTGCAACAACAATTTAAGTAAAAACGTGCTGTAAATAATCAAAAATGTATCTATAATCAGCGTGTAAACTATGTCAAAATAGATCTTCAATCATCTTTGTGTGAATTGTATTTGCAGTTATTTTTGATATGTTTTCAATGGAATATGTTGTACTTATTCGTATATATAGCAGGGTTGTCATTAATAGATGCTATTGACATCCGGAAAAATACAAACAAATTTAATTAACAATTAATTATTATGACAATAATTTAAGTGATCTTTTTTTTTTATTAATAAAATTTATGCTACATTATTCTGATTTTGTTTTTTTTTTGTGCGCAAGATATTTTTGAATATCCTATATAGTTGTTGAGTGATTATCTATCTATTTAATATGGCATTTACACTGGCCTCAAATAATTGATTTTGGTCAAAAATCGAATTTATTAATTTAATTAATAATTTTTTTCTTTGTATTGCTTGCTCTTTGTAATTAATTTTACTGAAGTATAAAATATATTCTTCTGAAGGAGCTATCGAGTACATTTCAAAACACATAACGTGAATTCTAGAGAGACTGTATTTGTATTGCTACAAGTATTTATTCACTAGCTACCAAAACTAATTGTATAAAACCCAGGGTCTTTTTCGCAACTGTGCAAAGCACGCACAAGATTGATCAACAAAAAGTAATATGAATATTATTTATTTAATATACCATATTATTATATATATTCAAATATATATAACTGAAAAAAACGTAATCTCTTAATTGACAACAACATTTCATATTAAGAAAATAGTTTCTCTAAAACTATTAAAAAATAATTTAATATTGAAATAATTGATATTTACTCGTAACATAATAATTTGAGTGTAGAGAATTGTAGCTTCGGTTAAGCTTAAGATAAATTTATTTTATTTTACTTTAAATAAGTGTCAGCTGATGTAAGGATAATTTTAAAAAGCTGTTTTGTAAAATATATAAAAAAGGGATTTATTTTCTTAAACAAAAAAAAAACAGAGTGGAATACTCAATCATTCTGCCTTCATGAAGAAGTCAAATGATTTTAAAAATTGTGCTTCTTTATATAGAAAAGGATTACATAAATAATAATATATATAAAATTCATATAAACAGTTTTTTATTTTAAAAGTTTACAATATAGCCTTTAAATAATAAATAAAAGTATATAGAAGTATAATTAGGTTTCTCAAAGCACTGTTTTAGAACTACGGAATAAGGTTAAGATTGTTAAGCAGTGGCATTTATGGTTATAATAATGATATTAGCTGCTGTTTTCTAGAATTGACAAAAAAATTTTAACAAAAGACTTTTATTTAGCATTTGAAATTATTTATTCTGCAACTTTTCTTTTAACTTTAAAGTTTAAACAGAAATGCAACCCTGCGAAGAGCAGTAGCAAAGCTTTAGCTCTTGTCAGTTTGGCTGATCTTTCAAAGCCGTTATTAATGTGATTGCATTGAGAATTTTCAAATGAAAGCAAAGCTCATTAGTCAGCTATGCGATGCGTTCAAGTTTTATGGTTGTGTTTCTGTGGTGTTTTATTAATAATTATAAAAAAATAAATAATATGTATAAAGAAAATTATTTATTAGCAACAAATATGGAATGGTGTAGTGTTTTAATTATTAATTATTATTATTCTGCATTTTCTTATACGTGCGAGCATTTGGTGACGGCAAAATAATGTTGAAGGTAGGAAAAATAGAAAAACATTTAATATTTTTATTTTATTATTCTATTATGTTTAATAGTATATATATAAATAAAATAAATTATTTATTGTTTATGAACTAATAATTGTCTATATTCAATAATACTAATCGAAATACAAAAACAAATTATTTACGCAGAATATAAAAAAATATTAATGAAGTACCCAAAATACATAAGAAAAACAAAAAGCAAAAACCAAACTTGTCTATTTGTAAGGATTGTGCCGTTAATGTTTACTTGTTTACTTCTTTTTTCGTTTTTTACAAAAAAATTGTAAAAATAATGCAACAACAAATATTTGTGGCCAAATAGTGCAATAAATATTGATGTTGCCAGAATTCTACACTAAAAAGTAATATATTTTTTATAAATATTAAATTTATGTTATACTCGTATTCATATCTATATCCAAATCCTTATATAATACTAAACCAGGAGTGTTGATTTGTTTGCTGAAATAAGTGATTATGATAATAATTTGTTTGACGTGAAGTGAAGAGTGTATTTTAATGCAGATTTTTAAAACTTTATTTAGAAAATAATTTCGTTTGTTTGAATTAAAAAGTAAATTAAAGGTAATCGATTAATCATTCAACTAACTTTCAATTCAATATAATAATGAAATCCCACATATATTATATATAATTTTTTATATTTTGAAACATAATTAATAAACACAAAGCAAAATCATAGTCTTTCAACTTTTCCTGCAATCTAAATTACTAAAACAGTTTTATCAGAAACAAAATATTTTTCACTCTGTTAGTAATGGATCAAGGTAATCAAAGTTCAATTATTTTTCGATTTTTTGTTGATCATATATCCATTGAGAACATTAATTTTGTCTTCACATTCATAATACACATATGTATGTAGTTTTTTAACTATATTATATTTCTATGGTGAGTGCTTGACTTTAATTATAATATCTATTAAATTTGTTTAATTAGTACAAATAAATTAAATATTTAAATTTATGTAAAATTTTAATTAAATTAATAATTAAGTAAAAAAATAAATATATACATAAACGTATATATTACATACATATGTAAAATATTTATATAATATGTGTACATATTATAATAATTTGTTACCGGGCTAATTTGGTCAAATTTTAATATAAATAAAAAGACACTAATTTATTATTTATATTTAAAAATCGTTTATATTTTATTTCCGATATTTCGACTATCTTCAATAGTCATCTTCAGGGAAAACTACACAAAATATAGGATGTTCACATTTTTATAGCGGATTATAAAGAAAAATCATACAATAAATACAATAATAATGATGACAACAAGAGAAAAAACAACAATAAAAATACAAAAGAAAAATTAAAATTATAAAAAAAATTTATAAAAAAAAAACAAAAAAAGCTTTACAAACATCCTGTGTCATTTGTTTATAATATTCCTATAAGCCTGAGCACAGTTGTCCGTATCAGTTTTATAATTAAGTCTTATATTATTGGGCACTTGAAGTATTGAGAGCATTTCTAGAAAGTACCTCTTATTATGGTTCCTTTCTTCATATAAAATTTTTGCCTTTTTGCCTTCATGTTTATGCTCCATACAATGCACAGCCAATGCTGTATTGGCTTCAGCACCACTTTTATTTTTTAAACTGTGTTTATGTCCAGCCATCCTTGTCCTAAGCTTATTTTTAGTCGTACCTATATATATTTTGTTACATACATTGTACCCGTCACCTTTACAATTCAGCTGGTACACTACATTAGATTTGTCTTTATTATTAATTTTAGTTTTAGTATTGCTATATAATTTAGCTATTGTGTTTGTTGCCTTATGAGTAATTTTATAACGTTCCTTGTCATATATACTAGAATTCATTATTTGGTTTGACAATTTCGGAACATAATCAATGGATTTATATATTTTTTTGTCATTATTATTGTTAGGTTGGAGCTTTTTAAAGGTCTTATTAAGCATCATATTAATAATCCTTTCGGGGAAGTCATTCTTTATTAAAGTATCACGCACTATGTTCTTTTGTTCATTATGGAAAATTTTGTCACTAAGTACTAGAACTCTTCTAATAAAATTGGATGCTGTATTTAAAATCACGTGTTTAGGATGATTGGAATTGTAGTTAATTAATCTTCCTGACGCTGAAGACTTTTTATACCATTGAAAGTGAATTTGGTTATTATGTCTAATTAATTCAACATCTAAATAAGGAAGCCTGTTATTCTTTTCTTCTTCTATGGTGAATTTTAAATTTATGTGAAAAGAATTCAAAATTTGAAGTATTTGAGTTATTTTATTTCTGCGTATTATCGCGAAGATATCATCTACATACTTCGTTAATAATCTTGGTTTTTATTCCTGGTCATCCACACACTTTTCCAATAATTCTTCCATCACGATATCTGCTATAATGGGTGATAACGGTGAGCCCATTGGCATGCCTCTACGTTGTTTATAAATTTTGTTGTCTAGCATGAAGTAATTATTTTCTTTAAGATAGAAATTTAAAATTTCGAAGAAAAGTGATTTAGTAATCTTAGTGAATGTCTTAATTATATTCCACTTCTTTTCCAAAATTTTAATGGCTAGTTCAATCGGTATATTCGGAAATAAGGATACTACATCAAAGGATACCATTATTTCATCATCGAATATATATGAATTACTGACCTTATTTTTGAAATCAATTGAGTCTTTAACATTATAAACCGAATGTATGGTCAGATTTTTTAAAATTGACGCTATATATCGACACAATTCGTATGATGGTGAGTTAACTGAAGAGCAAATAGGCCTAAGTGGCATATTTTCTTTATGTAATTTAGGTAACCCATATATTCTGGGTGGGTTGGCTGTATATGTACATAATTTTAGTTTTTCTGTTTTATTTATTATTTGATTATCAAAAAGTTTTGTGACTATTGTATTATTTTTAGTTTGTAACGTTGAAGTTGGATCTCTTCTGAGTATTCGGTATGTCATAATATCATTTACTATATTTTTAATTTCTTTGTCATAATGTTCTTTTTTTATAGCAACTGTTTTGTTGCCTTTATCAGATTTAAGTATTAAAATGTTTTTATTCAGTTTTAAAAATTTATTCGCTTGTTCCACTGTGCGCAATATGTATTTTTCCATAGGAGAATGTGTTATTTGTCTTTTATACCTTTCAACCATACCGATAAGTTGTGTTCTCGCTATTTCTTGCTCTTCTTTATTTTCTAAAGTATTAATGCAGTCTTCTCCATCTGTTAAATACTTAAGAAGTGGAAAGCTTTTTTTAGAAAGAGGTAGGGAGAAATTAGAACCGAGAGAGAGAAGCCACTGCACATCAGCTGGGAATTCTATATCAGTTTTGTTTATAAACCAGTCTTCTTTTATGTTTATGTCAAGCGATTTTATTAATTTAAGTTTTAATTTTTCAAATTTTTGATCCTTGAATTAGATTTTTTTGTTATTAATTTATTGTTAAGGATTTGTTCATTGTAAATAAAGTTCTTATAATCATTATGGCACACTAAATTTTGAATTATATTTTCTGTTACCGTGATATTTTTATTATTTTGTTTAAGAAGAATATGCTTCTGTGATATTATAAGATTAAGTAATTTTTTTTGGAATGTATTAATATGTTTATTCAGAGTGTGTACATATATTAATAACACTTAATTTGGTTTAGTAGCTGTGGCTCTATTTTCAACACGAGTTGTATCTAATGTAGACTCTGGAGCATCATGATTTGGTGTGCACAGATCAATTACATTTGGGACAAATACAACGTAATCATCTTCGTCAGTTAAGAAGTTTGCAGATGTGTGGCAGATATATCTGAAATATTAACTAATCCGTATATATTGTTTGATTAGCTTTTAATAAACACAATTACAAATTTTTAACTATTTCTGCGTATTGCTCTCTGCATCTAGTTATATTGATAAGGCTGCCAACCTCTCGTATTTGTGTCCATTGACGAACGTTTCGCGGGCATGAAAATTGTTTCCTACCAATACCGCGTTGGCCTTCGATTTTTCCTTGAATAATCATTTGGAGTAGCTCATATTTTGAATTTCGCATAATATGTCCCAGGTAAGCTGTTTTTCTTCTTTTTATAGTTGCTAACAATTTGCGATCACATCTCATTCTTCGTAAGACTTCATTATTTGTAACATGATCTATCCATGGAATTTTGAGAATTCTCCGAAAAATCCATAACTTAAATACTTCGAGCTTGTTAATATCGGCAACTTTCAAAGTCCAGGTATACATGGCATATAGAAGTATAGACCAGATATAGCATTTCACAAAACGGATTTTAGTTTTAATATTGAGATCATGACTATTAAGCATTTTTTTGTATCTAAGAAAAGTATTTCGTGCTATTTCCATTCGGTATTTGATTTCTTTGGAATAATTCCAATTTTCATTTACATAGCATCCAAGATATTTAAAATGTTGTACTCTTTCTATATCAATATTATTAACCATTAAATTTGTGTTGCTGTACGTATTTTTTCGGCTTACAATCATATATTTTGTTTTATTTATGTTTATTCTTAGTCCATATTGTTCGCTAGTGGTGTTTACCCTGTTTACTAGCTGTTGTAGGCCACTTAAACTGTCGGCAATAAGAACGGTGTCATCCGCGTATCTGATGTTATTAATGAAAACACCATTTACCTTCACACCTTGTTGAATATCGCTAATGGATTCTTCAAATATTTTTTCTGAGTACACATTAAATAACAGTGGCGACAATATGCAACCCTGTCTAACGCCTCGTGAAATGGATATCCCTTCTGTTATATCACCACCGATGTTTACATGTGCAGCTTGTTGCCAGTACAAATTTTTAATGCATCGAATTTCCTTGTCATCAATATCAATGTTTTGAAGAATTTCTATAAGTTTATCATGTTTCATGCTGTCGAACGGTTTCTCGTAATCGATAAAACAGAGAAAAACGTCTTTGTGAACATCTTTACAGTTTTGAACTAAAACTTGAATACATAATAGTGCTTCCCGAGTTCCAAGTCCTTCTTTAAAACCAAATTGTGATTTTTCCATTACTTTTTCACATTTTTTGTATATTCTGCCGTGTATAATTTTTAGAAATATCTTTAGAGCATGTGACATAAGACTGATAAGTCTGTATTCACTACAGTTTTTTGCATTTTTCTTCTCAGGCAGTGTTATGAAGGTAGATTTTACCCAGTCGTCGGGATATTGTCCAGTATCGTATACATGATTAAACAATTTTACTAATAGATTAGTATTTTCTTCATCAATTAATTTCAAAATTTCAGATGGAATCTCGTCTGGGCCAGTTGCGTTATTGTTTTTCATCGATTGTATAGCTTTCTTAACTTCGTCTTTAGTTATATTTCCAGTTGGCATATTTGTAAAATAAATATCATTATTTAGTCTACTGCTATCAGAAAAAAACCTTTTCAATATATGATTTCCAAATTCTTTTCTTTTCATTTATGTCAAAAACTATTTCGTTGTCATCATTAATGAGAAATGAAGGAGAGTTTTTTCGGTAAATTCCTGCAGTCTGTTTCAGTTTTTTGTGTAGATTAAAGTCATCATGTATTGATTGTAATCGTTTAATTTCGTGGTATTCATTATTTACCCAAACTATTTTCGCTGTACGGATCTTACTTCTGATGTCTCTGTTTAATTGCCAATATAGATCTTGTTGTGTATTTTTATACTGACGACGTTCATTTATCAATTTCACTATATCTTCGGTCAACCAATGATTTTTTATTTCCTTCCTATATGATCCAAGAGTTTCTTTTGATGAAGATGTAATCGTTGTCCCATATATCGTTGTTCCCATATATTATTTGGATTCCTAGAATCAATATTACTAATGCGATTATTTTTTAATGAACATTTTATGTCATCTTTTCGTAGTTTTTCTAAGTTGAGTTTAAGCTTTGGTTTCTTTCTGCGATTTGATGCTAATCTTATGCAAATTTTCGCCATTAGAAGATTATGATCAGATGGTACATCTGCGCCTGGGTAAGTTGTAACTTTCTTAACTGAAGAGCAAAAACGATCATTAATTAGGATGAAGTCTATTTGATTTCTGATAATGTTATCAGAAGTATCAGATGGAGATTTCCACGTATATAGTCTACAAGGTGGTAGATTGAACAAAGTGTTTGAAATCTTTAGTTTATATTCTTGACAGAATTGTATTAGTCGATCTCCTTTATCATTTCTTTCACCTAGTCCATACTGGCCCACAACTCCTTGAACTTCTCCTCTTCCAACCTTTGCATTAAAGTCTCCTTGAATAATGTTTGTTTCATGTGATTTCGTCAGTCGCATAAGTTCATTTAATTCAGCATAAAAAGATTATATTTCCTCGCTTTTGTCAGCAGTTGGAGCATATACTTGAATAATATTTATATTAAGTGGTTTGGCATTTATTTTCACCATCATAACCCTATCGGATTTGGGAATGAATCCAGTGCCAAATTTTGCAATATTCTTTTTCATTAGTATGCCTATTCCATTACGATGATGTTTGCTTTGGTTGCCAGAGTAATGAATCTTTGTGTTTTGAGAAAAGAATTCTCCGCAGTCAGGCCACCATGTTTCGCTTACGCCGAGTATATCAATATTGTGTTTCTTCATTTCTAAAATCGTGTTAGCTAATTTTCCTGCTTCATACAAGCTTCTAGTATTCCATGTTCCAATGTTTAAAGTTTGTTTAGTTTTACGTCCTGGGATTCTTAGCACCCTCGTATTGCCGGAGTCTGAGGGCCTTGATTGTGGTTGTACTTACATTGTTACATGATATGCTTCTGAAGGGTTTATTGTTTTCCATCAATACACATTTATATAGCGGGGCAAATATATTTGTCCGCTTTCAGCCGTTCCTCTGGTATCAGACGCTGAAACGTTGTGCCACATAATACAGAAATAGTTCTATAGACTATTAGTGTTCAAATAAAAAGTGTTATATTTCTGGAACGGTAGCACAAAAACACAAGCGTCTACTTTGAGAGTTTAATGGAAACTGAAACTGCTTTATTAATATATTCATGTTACAATTTTATAATGTAATACATACAAAGATATTCTTAATACTACATATACAATATAAGAGAGGAAAGATAAATACATAACATTTCTCCCCCTTCTATTTAATTTAGAAATTTACAAAATATATTATTTAAAACAAGAAAACTTTTGAACCATCATTATTTAACAATAACCAATTTTATTTCCTGAAATCAGGTGCTTGATATGGAGGAACTTGATTACGTGGTCTACTACTTTTACGAATTAATACTTCTTCACTCTGGTCACCTTCGTTTTCTGTTTCTTCATTACGTACACGACTGAGTTGTGCTCCATTATCATTTCCTTCTGGACTTGGTAAATTATTTAAATATATTGGAGGTTCATTCGTTCTTATTTCGTTTTTAAATAAGTTCGAAAAAGTTACAGTTTCATCGTTTACATTATTTTTAACAATATTATTAAAATTATTTATTCTAGCTTTTAATTGGTTTTCATGTCTCCGTACTAAACCTTTCTCTGTCTTAACTATATACAACATTTTTCCATAAAATCTAGCATATACTTTTTGATTTACTTGAAATTTAGTTAAATATTTCACTTTACTAATTTTAGGTATTTTAGAATGAGATACTTGAGTTAATAAAGTTCTAGTTGCTCTTCCATGAAGCAAATCGGCAGGAGTCTTCTCGAATTCGTCTGGCAAAGCTCGGTATGTTGTTAGAAATTTGATTACTGCTGCGTCGACTTTCATCATCTCATCGATGTTTTTTCGTACTGCTACTTTAAATGTTCTTACAAATCTTTCAGCTAGACCATTTGAAGCAGGATGGTATGGCGTCGTCGTTATATGTTGAATTCCATTAAGTTTACAAAATTCTGCGAAGGCATCCGAAGTCAATTGGAAGGCTTCTGCCAAGAACTGTACATGGGAACAGGATCAGGACCTGCTTTTTGGCAAACGTCACAATTCTTAACGGATTTTTCAATATCTGAATCTATTTTTGGCTACCAACAATGTTGTCTGGCGAGTTGCTTCATTTTTACAATACCCCAATGACCATCATGTAATATATTTAATACCTGTTTTTGCAATTGATGTGATATAATAATACGAGATGCATTAGAGTTTAAACATAACAATTCATTTTTGTATGATAATTCCATTTTTCGATTACAATAAGTTTTTATATCACCATCATTTATAATTAATTTGGTAGGCCACCCATGTAGAACGAATTGTTTAATCTTTTTTAATGTTTCATCTTCGTTTGCATATTTATTAATTAAGTTTGCATTTATTGGTAATTTTACAGTTTCAATGTTTTTACATTCTTCTTCGTTTTCGAAGCAGTCAATTGAATCTACCGGTAAACGAGACAGTGCATCGGCATTAGCATGGTGCTCCGTTTTCCGGTATTTAATTTCGAATTGATATCCCATCAATATTATTGCCCATTGCTGTAAACGATTAGCTGTCATAACCGGTAACTGTTTATCCGGGCTAAAAATGCTTATTAGAGGTTTATGATCAGTAAAAAGTGTAAACTTACGTCCACATAGATACTGATGAAAATGTTGCACTCCATATATTATTGCAAGTGCTTCTTTTTCAATTTGACTGTATTTTTGCTGCACATCGTTCAGCGTTCTGGAAGCAAATGCAATTGGTCTCTCGAAATCATCTTTATAAATATGGGATAACACTGCGCCTAGACCATAGGATCATGCATCAGTAGCCAGGATCAAAGGGCGGTGTTCTTGATAATGCATTAGAACTGTTGCGTTAGCAATAGCATTTTTTAAATGATCAAATGCTTCTTGTTGGGCGTTGGGCTTGCCCCCATTTAAATTGTATATTTTTACGTCGCAATTTATTAATAGGTGCTGCAATTGTAGAATAATTAGATATATATTTATGATAATAATTTATCTTGCCCATAAACGATTCAACTTGTTTAATATTTTTTGGATGCGGTAATTGCTTAACCGCTTTTACTCCAGCTTCATCAGGTTGGACCCCTTGTGCACTTATAATTCGTCCTAAATATTGAATTTTCTTTTGCAGAAACATACATTTTTCAAATTTGCAACGAATACCATTTTGTTGTAAAATGTTTAGAACTTGGTTCAACCTTTGTATGTGGATTTCAGTTGTAGGAGCCGTCAGTATGATTATGATTGTCGTATAAGTAGTTACCGCATCCTTCAATACCAGTTAGTATTTGTTCAATATATCTTTGAAAGATATCGGGCGCGCTTGCAATACCGTAAGGAAGTCGTTGGTATTGAAATAAACCTAATGGTGTACTTACTACTAGCAACTTTTTGACTCTTCATCAAGTTCCATTTGCAGATACGCATCCTTTAGATTAATTTTAGAAAGTAACTTTCCGTAACGAATGTTATATGGTATAATATGTCTTCTGGCAACGGTAACGGATGTTGCTCAATGTCAATTTGTTTATTTATTGTGATTTTAAAGTCTCCACAAATGCGAACTGTGCCATCTGGTTTCTTTGCTAAAACTATTGGCGATGCCCACTCACTAAATTTAACTGGCTTCCATATACCAGCTTTAATCAACCGATCAGCTTCTTTTCGAAATTCGGGTAAAAGTGCATATGGACTAAGTCGACTTTTAACAAATTTATTGTGGTTGTTGTTTTTGTTGTGAATTCATAGGCCTCTGCAATATTTAAAACTTCTGCAAGTGAAGGCTGTAGTTTCTGTAAAACTGCTGTACAAATATTCTCATGTGGAGTATTCAAAATAAAATAAAATAATAATTTTAATGGAAACTAAAACTGCTTTATTAATGTATTCATGTTACAATTTTATAATGTAATACATACAAAGATATTCTTAATACTACATATACAATAAAAGAGAGCCTATTTTTACATAAATACATAACATAACATTATTTACATGCATAAAGTCTTTTATAGCTGCTTTCTTAAGTTTCAACTTCTATATTTTATATTGTTGATCTTATAGTTTAAAATATTTAAATCCAAACAAAAAAACATAGGTTTCGAAAAATGTTTGATTAAATTTTTACTCTTTTTTTAACTTTCAATGAAACTTTTATTATTGTAACTCACTATTGTAAAACTGAAAATTGTTGAAATTAACTGGTGTCTTAGGACTGGGACATAAATAGCGAAAGTCATCGTTTTGCAATTGTGGCAGATTTGGTTCGCTGGCACTACGATGAATTTTAGGTAAAGTGCGCAGCATATTCTCCAACATATTTAGTAATGGTCGAAACAGTGGTCTGTCGTTGCGATCGAATCTTATGCAGTCTTCGGCTAAGCGTTTAAGTGCTTGTGGTGCATCGGATCGTACCTGAGACATATCTGGACGCAGAAAACCACGTCCAACCATAAATAAAATTTGATCCTTATTATTGATGTGACTGTATGGCAAACATTCTGCCAATAATTCATACATAGCAATACCAAATGCATAAACATCGGATTGAAAGGAGTATGGATTCAGCTCTTGCATGCGTATTACTTCTGGTGCCATCCAAAGTATACTGCCAGTGGGTTGATTAGCTTGTTTCTCACCGGACCAACGAATCTTCGCAGTTGCCAGACCAAAATCGCCTATTTTTACAGAAAGATCTTCATGTAAAAATATATTATTTGATTTCAAGTCTCTGTGTATAATATTTTTTGCATGCAAGTAGTCCATACCCTGTGCAACTTGACGTCCAATATCGATTAATGTATTGAGTTTGAATTTTGTTTCATTAACATGTATGTGTTTATAAAGAGAACTACCTTCACACCATTGTGTTACAATAGCTAAAGAAGGCTTTGACACACAACCCATAAAGAGCAAAATATTGCAATGTCTAGTCTTTTTTAACATGGCTACTTCATTCTTAAATGCTTGTAGTTGGGCGGGATTTGGTGTTTTTACGTTTAACGTTTTTACTGCAACTGGTCCGTGCCAATGTGCTTTATATACAGTTCCAAAAGAACCCGAACCGATACGTGGCCCAATTAGTATCTCTTCTGCTTGTATATTCCAATTCTCTTCAGATCCTTTCGCATCACGTGGAGATAATAGATTTTTATTGCTTTCATCTGCGGAACGCGCTCGTTGTCTTTTCACATGCTTTAAAGTACTTGTCGGAGATGCCTGAGTTGAGTTAGAATGATCATTACATGGTTGCCGTAAAGGACCATGCGTTTGTACTAATTGTCGCTGAGCATCTGTTAAAGGACGTAGATTATTAATACAAACATTAGGAGCTGAGTTTGAGCGATCTTGTTGACTTATAGTACGTGGATGTCGCCCATGGTAACTAATCGCACCACCACGTCCTGGATGTAGAATGCCGACAGTGCTTTCAGGATTTTCAGCTAACAAACTCTGATAGTAATTGTCCATTGGAAATTGCTGACAAAGTGTTGGCACCTTGTCAGCACAACGCTGATGAAACCGAAAATTACATTGATTGCAATAAAAACCGGTAAACAGTAAACGGCGGCAGCCTTCACAGAACGCTAACGAGAAAAAAGTCTTGCGCACAAACTGATGCGAAATATGTGTCATAATAGGGACAAACTCTAAAAGTCTAACATAAACCTCCTCCACTTGCAATGAACCTATATCTGTATCCCACGATATAATATGCCGTCCATCTTTTGTTGTTACTTCACACATTCCCGGAGTCAATTGTCGCAGCTTTAAAGCTTTCATTAGAGCATCACATAAACGTACACCAGGCACAACCTCTACAGATGTGCGTTGTTGATTAGGTAAGTGAGCACGTAATAATACTTTTGGCATTCGAGTTAGAGTGCCACATTGACTGCTACTGTTTGTTGACATATAGCTATCCGTCATATCACTTGTAGCATGCCCATATTGCTGTTGGGTATTGCGATAGGTCTGTTGTAGTTGTATTTGATTCTGATAATGTGGATGATTATTGCAGTCACTTAGTGTGAGCTGTTGCTCTGCTGTGCTATGCTCTTCCTGTTGTGCGTTTAGCTGTTCCATTAACTCTTGCTCTTTCGCTTCCAGCTCGTGCAGCTTTGATGTAAGTTCTTGATATTCAGTTATATACATTGCAGGTGGTTCTTGCAAGTTCGCAAATTTAGCATTTAGTGCATCAATATTCTCTCTAGTAACGTGTATCACCGATTGTATGTTTCGCATCTCCTCAGCCAACGGGTCGAAGTATTGCAAGTCACTTTCATCACTAGATGAACTGCTCGACATTTTATTGTGTACCGAAATGGTAGTGCTATACATGTGACAAGAAAATGGTGCAGTACTCGTCTTAAACGACAAACGAAAACTTGACGCTGCGATTTGTTAAATCTGATTGAACACTTTAAAACCTTGTGAGGTATACTTTGTTTTGGTTCGTTGAAGCTTACTCAATATTTTGACGAATAAAATTATATATTTATATATATAATTTTATATATGTAATTTACAAATTTTATGTTATTTGCTATATGTGCCTTCGTGCAGATTGCTTCGTGTACTGATGCTTTATTTCAATAGTGTGCGTGCTTTTATACTGTATTTTTGCTTGAGTCCAGTCTGTTATTCTGCAACTATTTTGTTATTGTTTGTGAAGTTCTGATAATCAATTCAATGACAAATGCTGATATAATTACTTTTGTTCTTTGATATAATACAACCACTCAAACCAATTTGCATGCAATAATTTTTATGACCTTATTTTTAGAGTCTTTGCATTTATGAATTCCTTGTATATATTTCGTGCCTGGTTACTTGCCAGGATCAGGTACCTATGAAGTGTGTTCATTTTTCATAATATGACGTCAAAAATATTTCTTTGTCAATTGTTTAAACCTGTGAAGACTATTTCTAAATGTACCTGCAAAGGAATTATTTACAAAATGAAAAAAATTTGAAATTGAAAAACTAAGGCGTTACTCTATAGTGCAAATAAAGAAATTGTTTTCAACTCCGCTTATCTTTATAAAAACGTTCTTTTGTTGCAAATTGAAATTATTTTTTACTGATTTTGCATTTATCTGAAAGTAAACAAAATCATCCTCTACTACTAATAATCATCCACGCTACAAGTAACTTTGACAACCATAGAACTCTTGTACTTGCAACAACAATTTAAGTAAAAACGTGCAGTAAATAATCAAAAATGTATCTATAATCAGCGCGTAAACTATGTCAAAATAGATTTTCAATCATCTTTGTATTTGCAGTTATTTTTGATATTTTTTCAATGGAACATATTGCATATATTGTACTTATTCGTATATATAGCAGGGTTGTCATTAATAGATGCTATTCACATCCGGAATATACAAACAAATTTAATTAACAATTAATTATTATGAAAATAATTTAAGTGATCTTTTTTTTTATTAATAAAATTTATGCTACATTATTCTGATTTTGTTTTTTTATTTGTGCGCAAGATATTTTTGCATATCCTATATAGTTGTTGAGTGATTATCTATCTATTTAATATGGCATTTACACTGGCCTCAAATGATTGATTTTGGCCAAAAGTCAAATATATTAACTTAATTAATAATTTTTTTCTTTGTATTGCTTGCTCTTTGTAATTAATTTCACTGAAGTATAAAATATATTCTTCTGAAGGAGCTATCGGGTACATTTCAAAACACATAACGTGAATTCTAAGGAGACTGTATTTGTATTGCTACAAGTATTTATTCACTAGCTACCAAAACTAATTGTATAAAACCCAGGGTCTTTTTCGCAACTGTGCAGAGCACGCACAAGATTGATCAACAAAAAGTAAAATGAATATTATTTATTTAATATATTATTATATATATTCAAATATATATAACTGAAAAAAACGTGATCTCTTAATTGACAGCAACATTTCATATTAAGAAAATAGAAAATGAATCATACTCCAAACTTCGAAGATGTAGAAATCCTTTATCGAGAGAAAAATGATAAACGTAGGATGCTGCTAGAAATGCTGCATATAATTGACGTACCAGATGGTGAACAATTAAACCATAAGAGGGATACGGAAGGCTTAGCACATATTTATAGATCTTTAATTAAAGAAATTAAAAATTAATTGCTAAGTTTATTATTTTTCTATTGTTTTTATGTAGTGTATTTACTATAAAAAATAAGGAAAAAATTCTTTTTGAAAAAATTTATTCTTCCTGTAAACTTAATTTCCCATTTTCGTTAAAATTTTATAAAAAGTTTTTTGTCTTATTATCTATGTGACTTTTGACATTTTAATTTCCTTTTTTTATAATTGTATTTGTATTAATTGTAACAATGAAGATGGTCTACAAAGTAGACCGAAATATTTGTTAATTAATAAAATATATTACATCAAGTAATAAATGTGATATTTTATTTAATTTAAAATTTGTGTTTTTATACAATAAAAATTATTATATAAAAACAAAATTTAAAACCACGACCTAAAGCCCGGCTAAATTTAAAACATAAATAATAATATATATAAAATTCATATAAACAGATTTTTATTTTAAAAGTTTACAATATAGCCTTCACATAATAAATAAAAGTATATAGAAGTATAATTAGGTTTCTCAAAGCACTGTTTTAGAACTACGGAATAAGGTTATGATTGTTAAACAGTGGCATTTATGGTTATAATAATGATATTAATATAATATTAATGATTAGCCTTAATTAATTTTTTTTGCTGCTGTTTTCTATAATTGATAAAAAAATTTTAACAAAAGACTTTTATTGAGCATTTGAAATTATTATTTTTATTCTGCAACTTTTCTTTTAACTTTAAAGTTTAAACAGAAATGCAACCCTGCGAAGAGCAGTAGCAAAGCTTTAGCTCTTGTCAGTTTGGCTGATCTTTCAAAGCCGTTATTAATGTGATTGCATTGAGAATTTTCAAATGAAAGCAAAGCTCATTAGTCAGCTATGCGATGCGTTCAAGTTTAATGGTTGTGTTTCTGTGGTGTTTTATTAATAATTATAAAAAAATAAATAATTTGTATAAAGAAAATTATTTATTAGGAACAAATATGGAATGGTGTAGTGTTTTAAATATTAATTATTATTATTCTGCATTTTCTTATACGTGCGTGCATTTGGTGACGGCAAAGTATAATAATGTTGAAGGTAGGAAAAATAGAAAAATATTTAGTATTTTTATATTATTATTCTATTATGTTTAATAGTATATATATAAATAAAATAAATTATTTATTGTTTATGAACTAATAATTGTCTATATTCAATAATACTAATCGAAATACAAAAACAAATTATTTACGCAGAATATAAAAAAATATTAATGAAGTACCGCAAATACATAAGAAAAACAAAAAGCAAAAACCAAACTTGTCTATTTGTAAGGATTGTGCCGTTAATGTTTACTTGTTTATTTCTTTTTTCGTTTTTTACAAAAAAATTGTAAAAATAATGCAACAACAAATATTTGTGGCCAAATAGTGCAATAAATATTGATGTTGCCAGAATTCTATACTAAAAAGTAATATATTTTTTATAAATATTAAATTTATGTTATACTCGTATTCATATCTATATCCAAATCTTTATATAATACTAAACCAGGAGTGTTGATTTGTTTGCTGAAATAAGTGATTATGATAATAATTTGTTTGACGTGAAGTGAAGAGTGTATTTTAATGCAGATTTTTAAAACTTTATTTAGAAAATAATTTCGTTTGTTTGAATTAAAAAGTAAATTAAAGGAAGAGCACTTCTCATCATTTTGAAATACGGTTAGAAAAGACTACATTGATGTGTGGAGCACTATTTTTTATCAAGGCTTATGCGCGGTTAAACGCAGATTCAAAATCGAAATCAAGATGTCTTCGAATAAAGATGATTCGTCAGCTGTTAATAGGACTACAGTCCAGGTTGAACATCCATCATTTTCACCAAGAACTCAAGCACTCATAGAAGAATTTAATCAGTGTTCAAGCGAAGTCAGTTGTTGTTGTTGTTGTAGCCCGCCGGGACCTGAAAGCAGATAACATGTAAGGATTACAAGACGAATACATGGGAATAAGGAATGGAAAAAGGTGGGAGTGGGTGTTGGGATGAGGGAAAGGGGAGGGGTGGGAGTAATTTGAACCTAACCAGGATCCAGTCGAAGAAACCTAGCAACTTCAAGGGGACGAGTCCAAAGGTCGATTGGACCAAGATTGGTGTGTGCGTTGGGGCAAGAAAACAGATGGGCGACGTCATGGGGCGTGGAGCTGCAGTTTGGGCACACATTAGGAATGGACGTATTAATACGTGACAAGTAACTGTTAAGCACATGGCTATATCCTGATCTCAATTGAGATAGGACAGTTCTTGTCGTACGAGGCAGATTACGTTCATCCTGGGAAATGTTAGGCGGAGGCCTATTGAGGACCTTGTTGGGAGCCAACCTAGGTCTTGAAGAAGACACTGCATCGGTGTGGAGTGCTATAAGTCCACGTTTGTATTCGACCTCACTGATGTAGGCTCCATTGCAATATTGGTCGATATTGAAGTTGGTAAGTGATCGACGGATGCAACGTGGAGGGAGGGCTCTACTAGCCATGACGCCATTTGGATGACCATCTGTGTGGCACGCGAGTAAAAATTGTTTGGACAGCAGTTGATTGTGCTCTTTTACAAGAAGCAACTTTGATTCCGCATGAAGATGGTCAACATGCGACATACGATGGTAGCCAGTTGCAATTCGCAATGCTGTGTTTTGACAAATTTGGATATTATTCCATTGCGTCTCGCAGAGTTGCGGGGTCCATACTGGAGCTGCATAGGCCGCAATAAGACGACCTATTGCTTTGTATGTGCTCAGCAGGGTTTCTTTGTCCTTACCCCAAGAGCACCCGGCGAGAGCTTTTAATACATTATTGCGAGATTTCAATCGGCTGCACAAGGATGAAGCATGTGCGGAGAAGGTCAACATACTGTCGAGAACGACACCCAGGATTTTAGGTTTGGTGGTTGTAGGAATCCTGAATTCACCGATATTAATGGGCAGAGTCATAGAAACCTCTTTAGTCCAGGAAGTAAAGAGGGTAGCAGAAGATTTGCTTGGAGATAGGTGAAGATTTCTATCAGCCAAGAAAGATGCTATATTAGGAAGGTATGCATTTAATTTATTACACAATATAGAAGGGTCCTGGCCTGTCGCAAAGATTGTGCAATCGTCAGCATACGTTATGACTCTGACTCCCTCAGGAGGGTCCGGGAGCTTAGACATGTATAGATTGAAAAGGATCGGTGAAAGAACGCTGCCTTGGGGCACACCTTGTTTTAATTTTCTGGCTTTCGACATCTTATCTCTAAAATCAACAAAAGATGATCTGCCAATGAGATAATTGCAGAGCCATCGTTTAATGATGTCAGGGATAGATGTTTCAGCCAGATCATTTAGCAAGGTGCTATGGGAGACTGTGTCAAATGCTTTCGCAAGATCTAGACCTAACAGCACCGTGCGTTCGCACGGGCGACTTTGATTTAGTCCATTAGTGATTTGAGAAGTGATCTCACAAAGAGCAGAGGTTGTACTATGACGTTTTCTAAATCCATGCTGATGGGGAGCTAGGTGAATATAGGGAGAAATCTGTTTTAGGACTAGCGACTCCAGAACTTTGGCTACTGGAGACAGGAGCGAGATTGGTCTATATGATTCACCTAGGCCAGCCGGTTTGCCCGGCTTCAGCAATGGGATAATTCTACCAGTCTTCCATATATTAGGGATGATGTGAGAACAGATGGAGGTGTTCAAAATATGTGTCGGAACTGAAAGACCAATGGGCCCGAGGTGCTTGAGCATGAGCATTGAAATGCCATCAGGCCCAAGCGCTTTCGAGGCTTTGGCGTGTCTGATCACGTTATTTACATCATCCGGGGAAAACAGCGTGGTGTCGCCGGAATGTGGTTTCCGAAAAGCGCGAGTCTGTCTGCGAATAGCATGGGAAGCAGAGGCATTGGGCACGAAAAGCTGACAAAATTGTTGTGCGCAATGCTTGGGATCTGGGAAGGTGATACCATTAAAAGTTATCGCTTTATTATTAGGACGTGAAGGATTAGATAATGCTTTAATGGTAGTCCACAATTTACCATTTTGAGAGTCGCAGTTATCTAAATGTTCCTTTCATTTATTAAGGCGATGTTCGTCTACCAATTTACGGATGTTACTGTTCAGGGTAGCTATGCGTGGATTAGCTGGGTCTAATCTACGAAGATTATCGCGTTCTTCGGCAAGGGGC